ACATGTCAAGCGACACTTGAACATTTAAAATTCATATTCATATCGAACCATTACACCCCTAAGGGCTGTAATCACAATCGCACCCCGCAGGGTTACAATCACATTTCACCAATTATGCCCCCAAGTACACTTCGTACATGTACCAATCAATCCCAAAGTATTTAGCCCAACGTACACGTACAGGTCAACCGATAACATTGACAGAATTTCATATAAATCAAAATAATCAATAGGAATACAAAATTTCAGATAATGAAAGGACACTCTTTGCAAAAAGATTTAAAAAACAAGAGCATATTGTATACTACCCCGTACCTCAAATTCATCAATGACTTCAATATATGCGAAGTTTGAAATAACCCAAATCAAATAGTCAAATTTGATAGCAATCTAAAATAAAATCACTGCTCAATTTTTGACTCTAAAATCTAATAATTTTTTTTTTCTTTTATTTTATTCTCTCTCCTTTTCTCTCTCTCTCTCCCTTCTTTTCTTCCTCTCTTTCTGCTGTGCTTGTTGCCTGACTTGGCTATTTATAACTTAATGTTGCTTGGTCTCCAAGCATGTTATAGACACTTGTCCATTGCTTCACCATTTCTTCTTCTTTTTTTTTTCTTTTCTTTTTGCACGTTTTCAAATCTTGTAACAAATCTAGATATAATATATATATATATACACATATCTATTCATTCATTATGTATATATAGACATATTTATTCATTACGAAACTTGACCTATATTATAGTCATTTGACTCGTTTTCGCATGAAAAATCTATATATGAGGTCCATTTGTTCCAAAAATAAATAAATCTCAATTATATAGAATCCTAATTAATGACCTAATTAACGTGTCACTAATTAATTAATATATGTGTCGTCACAAAATGTCTTCTGAAATTAGCATCAAAAAGGCAATGTGAATGGACTATGAAAGCCTTCAACTTATAGACATAACGAAATGATTAATCAGTCATCTAAATCTATCAAATCTATTAACACAATTATTGGCTTTTACTTGAAGGCATTCAATACATACATGCAACAAAATGAACAATCAGTCATCTAAATCTATCAAATTAATTAATGAAGTTGGCTTTTACCTGAAAAGGGAAAAAAATTCATCAAAGTAATTTATGTTCAAAGAAGCACTATATAAAATGACTGCATATTAATCTTCCTGAATTGTCAAGTCCATGTCTCTCCCTCCCCATAAATCACATATGATTTACACTTGGAAATTGATAATGCATTTTCTTTAAAGCAAACTATCAAACATGTGGTGGGTGTTGATGATATGAAGGGGTTGAGGCAGAGTAGGAAGGGGAAAATGAGAGAGGTAAGCATTTTCTGAAGCATAATCACAATGAATTTTTTGATCATATTTTGGAAAAATTCCAAACCATTTTCCGAAGCATAATCACAATGAATTTTTTTTAATCCCAATCAATGTATGGGTAGAAAACTTTGGTTAGGGTTAGGGTTAGGGTGGGGTGGGATTCTGTGATGGATGACGTTGGATGGAGGCAGTCACTGGTGGTTAATGGATGACGATGGTTGGTGGATCGATAGATTACAGAGTGGCGTGAATGAGAGTCGANGATTTGAGTAAAAATTTGAGTTTTCTTTGATTTGAGTAAAATTTTGAGTCTTCCTTGCTTTGGTAAGAGTTTAGATATAACATTAGAGAATATTTTTATGTATGTTTTACTAAAATTTAAATTTAAGTTTAAAAAAAGATAAGGATTGAAGATGCTGAAAGAAACTCTCAATAGTTGACAGGTAAAATAAGATCGGGGTCAAGGTGTAAATTTTTTTTGAACCGAGGTGAAGGCGTAATTCACCCATAGTAATAATAGAAGAAATTAGGTCTGCCGTGATGGGTGGGCAGTGGACTGACTTGTGCATTTCAAAATCAAACTGAGTAGTCATGATGATTTTGAATGCTTGACTCGTAAACTATCCAAAAGCTGCGGCCCTCTATTTAATTTGACACCACTTTGCCATGAAAACATAAAAAAAGAAGTATATCAGAATCTCTCGAATTTATGGACATTAATGAAAAAGATATGTGAGGTTCTTTGCCAATTTGTTTTAATCCTTCGGCAATTGTTCATGTCCATCTGAATAAAAATAGATTGAATGGTCCATTGACTCATGCATTCTACAACATCTCTTCTTTGGTGACGTTAGACCTTGTGATTNTGTCCATCTGAATAAAAATAGATTGAATGGTCCATTGACTCATGCATTCTACAACATCTCTTCTTTGGTGACGTTAGACCTTGTGATTGCAAGTTAAATGGTAAAAATCCAGGTTGAATAGGGAACCTTTCTGAATTGAGTTTAATCTTCTTGAAAGCTAACAATTTTGAAGTTAACATTCCTACTGAACTATGCTACTTAAAACAAACAATCTCAGTTGAACTTAAGTAAAATACCCAAAAATTGGGGAACTTAAGTGAGCTTCATTCCTTAAGTTTGTCCCATAACAATCTCACTGAATCAATTCCAACAATATTCTCCAACCTAAGGCAAATTGAGAGTCTAGCTCTTTCCTATCACAACCTGACGTCCAACAATATTCTCCAACCTAAGGCAAATTGAGAGTCTAGATTTGTGTTGGTATTTAAACCCACAGACAAACACACACAATCGAAGAAAAAATCAAGAACATAAAACAATAAGAAANTTTAAACCCACAGACAAACACACACAATCGAAGAAAAAATCAAGAACATAAAACAATAAGAAACAAGAAAGAAATAGACACACAGATTTTACGCGGTTTGACAATTTACCTGCGTCTACGAAACTGTAGAAATTTCACTATTGAAATAGAAGAATACAGAGGGCAGCTATACAATTCCAATGAAACCCAAAACACAAAAGTAGCAGTTTTATATGTTCTACGCACCGGGTTATAAAACAAGCCCAAAAAATTTTCTTGGGGTGCGTTGCCCCCAGACCCCCAGTACCAAGTCTTCACTCCATGGATCAAGTCTTAGAAAATTTTTTATTGAAAGTCACGCAACATTATTTTCGGTCGGGTCATCATCCGGATCAACACACAAATTAGACTCCACAAAGACCTAACAATCTGTCCTATAACATCTGACTGGGAGTATCCCNCGGGTCATCATCCGGATCAACACACAAACTAGACTCCACAAAGACCTAACAATCTGTCCTATAACATCTGACTGGGAGTATCCCCACTGAAATGACTCAGTTGAACTCTATGGCGGCCTTCAGTATAGCACACAACAACTTATTAGATAAAACTCCAAATTTGAAAGCTCAGTTTGCTACCTTTAATGAGAGCAGCTACGAGAAAAATCCTTATCTCTGTGGACCTCCATCACATAACAAATGCGTCGACACTGGAGCTCCTTCACCAATGCAAAAGGCTTCAAAGGACGTACATCATGATTATGGGTTCATTGATATGGATGTTTTTCATTTAAGTTTTTCAATGTGGTACATTATGGTGTTGTTAGAAACTATAGCAGTTCTTTATGTGAACCCTCACTGGCGAAGGGCACGGTTCAATTTCGTTGAAATGTGTGTAACCCCTATCTACTATTTTGTTATTGACAATTTTCGTAAGTTGTTCAATTGCAAGATTGTATAATTCTTTAGCTAGATTACTAGATGTTTCGATGTAAGCTCGCTTTTAATATAATATTCCAGTAGTAAATATTTTCGTTAGTTGCATAACCCTTGCTGAGATTAATTTTAATATACAATATTATGCTCTACCTTATAGACATTGGACGATATTAAATTGTGAGTATATACTGACTTAAAATTCTGTACTNTTAGCCATAGCAGTTGTTTGGTAACCATAGTCCCACCAGGATGCCACCTGAAAGAAGTTAAAAGAAAACAATCAATATCACCTAACGTCTTCACTTTGTCAACTCCGTGCTAGCTCAACAGAAACTACTGAAGATGCAATTGGCTAGNTTGGGGGTTTCAACAAATTCAGTTTCTTGGTATGGGTTTTGTTCAAAATTGTGGTTAACAACTTTAAGAGGAAGAAATAGGTCTGAGTTATAGAGGCATACAGTATCACAAATGGGTTGTTGTTAGATAGAAAATTTGGGTTCTTGCTATAGAGAGTTGAAATGGAGCTTTGTCACATCACTTAGCAAATCAGGCTTTGCAAAGGCTTGGGGAGGAGTTTATTATATAACCAACAAAGACAATGCTGATAGTACAGATGATTCAGAAGACCAAAATTTTTTTCCATTTTCCAGAGAAATTGATTAGAAAATTTTGGTCAGTGCACGGAGTTGTTACAAAAACAATCAACTACAGCAATCAAGTCATTAAACTTTTGACCAAATTAACATAAACATACATCAAATTTGTAAACAGTGAGCCAATAGATGCAATTGAAGTAGTCAAATCCATGTCAAATGAGTTGGCCATTATAATTTTAATACATATATTCTAACTTTTGAGTCAACTTATTTAAAATTAATCCCATAATTGGATGATATTATGCTCATGTAACTTTTTTCCTTCTGAATTTGTACGGGGGACTTAATTGAAATATAACTCAAAGTTTAAGGACTTGATTATTTTAATTGATAGTTCAAGGACCAAATAAAAAATAGTTGTAAACTTTGAGGTATAAAATATAATTTATCCTGCATACCTGAGTTCTTCTCGCTGCACGGTCCGACCTCTGATCATCCTCGTCATTTGCTTATTATTTTTGTCATTTTTTATTACCATTAAGCTGTATAATCAACATGATTGTGAAACCGGTTTCATGTATCCAACCGCAAGATATCGAACTTAAGTTTGTTAATTACAGTGTTATAACTTTTTTACTTAAAACATCCGTTTATACATATTCT